AATAGGAACAAGGACGCTACTAGGGGCTCCTGGCCTTACTACCAGGAACAAGAAGCTACTAGGAACAAAGGGCATCGCTACTAGGAACAAGGACGCTACTAGGGGCTCGGGCTCCTGGCCTTACTACTAGGAACAAGCTACTAGGAACAAAGGGCATCGCTACTAGGAACAAGGACGCTACTAGGGGCTCCTGGCCTTACTACTAGGAACAAGAAGCTACTAGGAACAAAGGGCATCGCTACTAGGAACAAGCACGCGACTAGCGGTTCCTATTTGTGTGGCTCTGCGAGTGAGCTGACAGGCAGTTTCGCCTGCTAAAAGTGACATCGAGCAGAATCAGCCAGATGCCGGGCACTTGTCCGCCATGGCTGCCAATGTCGACGTGTGGGGGTCAATGACAGAGTCATTGCGCGATCTTGAGGCCACACTTGTGTATTGACTTGGCATTTGTGTTACAGTCAACCCTGCTGTTGAATTGGAAGAAATGGGATTACTGTAGATAGTTCTATGGTAGGCGATGGGGGGCAAGCGATGTTCGGATCTGAGAAAGCTATTCAGATGTATGTAGTGCATGAATGAATATGCGCGCATGCTTAAAAAAAAGATGCAGGCTGCGGGTGCAGAGTTGATGCAAGAAGCAAGGGCAGCTGATAGCTCAGCACTTTGTTGCCCCCGATCACATATCAAGCTTCCATTCAGTCACAAAATGCTGAGGCCAAGCGAGCAGCGCTAGGCAAATACTTCTATTTTGCTCTGTATGTAGTAGTCCAGCGCATGGCAATGTCAAGACTATGCTTTGGACTGCCTGCGCAGGACTGCCTGCGACAACAGAAGTCAGCCAAACCCTGGAGGATTTCTTGGGATTGTCAGCTGTCAACACTACATATGTAGAGCAACTCTGAAAAGAGATCTTACCAGGAAGTTGAAGACCAAATGCAGACCGAGTCCTCGAGTCTGGAGGACAGATACTGATTAGCGTAACTCTAGGGGGAATGTCTTTGATCTTGTTTTCGACTGGAGGTCAAAGTGCAGACTCTTGCAAAGGAGGCCAAACACTCTGCATGTGTAGTGGGGCTTTGCTGAGGATGTACCATTGCCGTTCTTGACGCATACAAAACAACCAAAGTTTTGTGACTGTGGCTAGGTAAAGAAACGCAGAGAAGAAGGCCAAGAGGCACAGTCACAGTCTATCCGTCTTCCCGCTTTGGACCAGATTGCACATTTGTGACCAGGCCCCAGAATTGGAAGCATCGCTTGGCCAACTGGTCCAGCAATACGTGAGGGTGCCACTGCATGTTTGTCTATGTGTTTCTTTCTGTATACTCAAGCAATTTGCCCACCCCCAGGAACAAGGAATCAATGATACCGAGGACCAAACGTTCTTACTTCCTGACCATTTATTGTAGTCATGACACCTTCCATATGACGGTCATTGGCTCTTAGATTGCGTAACAGCAATTGTTCAGAAGTTTTAGTTTGGTATTGGAGGCTCGAGCTGTGCTTGCAGGAACCTTCCCCATGCCAACAGAAGCAGCAGGCTTTAGTTACCTTGCGTTTTGAAGGTTCTGAGTAGCTGTAGTCATGACACCGTAAAGGGGCAAACACAACGAGCGGAACATGGTCATTTCATCTTGGATACTTGTGGCCTGGCGCGGCGCATTGTTTAACATATTTGCTCTGAATATGCCCAGGTGCATGATCCTGAGACACTTGAAACAGCGCTTGGCCACCTGGTGCAGGAGGCTATGCAGGTGCAACTTCATGTGTTTCCCTCTTTCTGCGCAAGCCATTTGTCCACCCAGGGACAAGGTATCGAAGGTACCGAGGATCGAACCTTGTTCTACTTCCTGGAATCTGGAAGTCGGCTGTAGTCATAACACCTTGCATATAACGGCCTACCCCAATTTGTCCAAAGGTCTGGTATGTCTCGGGGAACGCGTGCAAATGTAGATCACCAGTTCACTTCATGTGTTCATACTTGCAGGAATCTCCCCAGCAATCTTCCTCACCCGAGGAGCCAACACTTGCTTTTTTGTCGCATTGCGATATAGTGTGATGTGTTGTCATGACACCTTGCACTTGTGGAAGAACACCGGAGTCCTCATATGAAAAATTGCAGGATTCCCTGAAGAGAAGGAAGGCGGAGGCCGCGAATTCAGTTGTTTTGGTGATCCATGACACCTTAAGGCGTGAAAGGGCCTTTGGATTTCACGGAGGCCTCATTTGTGCAGGAAGCTTTGCCAGAAGAGTCAGAAGAGAACCCGGAGGCTGTGTTGCAGGATATTTTCCTGCAGAAAAAGACCCGGGCTTGCATCTTCATTTTGGCATTTGGTACATCTTCATTTGGTACCTGTCCTTTGTTCAGCCGCTCTTTGGAACACACGCATTAGCGACGGAGACCTCAATTGTGCTAGACAAGATGTGTTCCTTCAGAGTTCTTACTTGTGAAATACTCCTACTAGTACAATAGAAGGAAAATGCTCAGCTCATCGCCTCCGTGCTTTTTTTGTGGAGGCTCCATCTGTGCGGGAAGCTGTGCCAGGAGAGCCAGAAGAGATCCCGAAGGCTGTTTTGCAGACGCGGGCTTGCATCTTCCATAGCGCATGTGGGTAAGTCCCGGTGTTCGCGGTTGGTCGGGGTAGGCAGGAACACCAACCCTCTCTCCCACCTAGCATTAATGTGTACCTTGTCAGTTTGAACAGCTGGCTGGTAACAGGAGCAGCTGCTCCCTGGTTTAAAGTTTGGTGCTGTGCCACACAGCTTTTCCCCCCCGCCCACCCTGAGCTGTGGAGCAGCTAAGGAAGAGGGAGGGGAGAAGGGAAGCCTGTTGGCAGAGTCCTGCATGGATGGCTTGTCCCTTCATCTTGCAAAAGGTCGGCGCGCCTGCTCTAGGTCTTGTAGTTCATTGAATGATAGGATGGGTGAGAGGCTGTAGTCATGACACCTGTCATTTGTTCAGCTGCTGTTTGGAACAC